AAAATTGGGTTAAGATATTTACGAAACATCAATTTTTTTATAAAAGTTTAACACGAAAACGAAGCATTGTCTTAAAATCACTGTCTGTTAAATTTATTGTACATACTTAATTAACACCCTGTATAACATTATCTAATTAATTACTAGAAGAATTCTATGCTATTTAGGAAATGAGTTTAATAGAAACCGTTGTTATTATTATGTTATATCGTAAGATCATATTAGACCCAAGGACAAATTCTTTTAGTTGAAATTCAAAGTTCGGCATAGACCTTGGCTGACTGAAACAACCCTGTCAGCGAAATAACGACTGGTATGTTCGGCCTGTGCCGATATGAACCACGCTGTCCTGAATATTCTGTCTCTATTATATTATTATCATATAATCAACGAGTTTGCCTGTGTGTGTTTTTGTTTTAGTTCTCATATTAGGCCATATATTTTATAGTGTGTGGTGCTTTTTGTGGGTGAATTTGGATAAAAAAAGGTAAGTCTTTAAACCATAATAAATGTAAAGTAATTACTTTTAACCATAGAGATAATATTTGGTTGTTGAATTATTTTATTCAAAACATTAAATGTTTTTTGTGTAAAGATAGGTATAGGCTTCATAGAAAAACTGATAATATTTTATTTAAAATAAGAGGTTGTACAGTATTTTTGGATGAAAATTGACTGATATATGACCGCTCAAATTTTTGGATTAAAAATGCGGTTGGCATTGGAACTGGCACTTGTACAGGGTGCTCAGAAAACCGGTAAATATAAAAATCTTTCAAGAATAAACTGCCTTTGTTTTTAACAGTACACAAAATATGTTATTAAAGAAAGTTGTTTAGAATTGAAATTTATTATTAAAGTACAGTTTTGTCGTAGGACTAAATTTTTTTCTATATTTAATTTTTCATAAAATAATTTTTACTGCTATTTTCATTAAAATTTTGACGTAAGAATGGCTGTGTTTCAAACAAAACAGATAAAAATCATAAACTTTAAGAGGCCTTTTAAATATCAGCCGTTATAATACGTCACAGGTTCTAGATTAAGAGAGAAAGTTTCGAGATTATCAGCGGGGTATAAAAGCCGAATACGCTGTGTATATGGTCTTTTCTTTCGTGCTTATCGTACCAGTGCGTTGTCTCCGCTGTTATTGCATACATCTTAGAAAAGTGTTGGAACATCTTCAAATATTTTAAAGGTGAGTTTTAATTTTAAAATAAGACGTGTCGCATATCAAAATTAAATGTCTTGCAGTAAGATAGTGGGTTTCAACGATTTTTTAATAGCTGTGCCGATTCTGCTCCACAATTGTGACTGGAGCAGGATCGGCATAGCTTTCAGCCGGCTACGTCACATCGGCTGACGTCTGCGCGGTAGAGGTTGATAACCGTTCGTGCCGACTAGAAGTATTATTTATGTATGGATCTATTATTAGTAGTAGGGTTGTTGAAGATTTCTTCTGATACAATGAATGATCAAAAGCGGGTTGTGTTTAACTTGGATAATAATAAAACTTATATGCTTATGGACCCTGATGACTGGTTTGAAAAAGCAAGAAAATCAAATTGGATGGAATTGATCAGTGATAGAGCTCACTTTCAGAAAAGAATTAGTTTGTCTTTAAGATAGTGAGTCTCATCGATATTTTTTCTTTTGTTCGCGATCGATGATATGCTTGCCCAGTAGGTAGAAAGCGCTCACTATCTTTTCGTTTTACTCACTTTCAAAATTTTTTATTTTTCTCGTATACTTTTTGAGTGAATCATGCCCTATTTTTTAATCAAACACATCTTAATCACGTGACCTCTTTTCAGGCATCAGTTACCAATACTAGTTACCTACGAGTCACCTGACGATCTCAGTTTATCATCAGTCTTTGAAGTGATAGCATCATGGCTGCATCAGATATTCTGAAATATTTGTGTTACCAAATATGTACCCTACTCGGCGTTCTAAAACGATCATATAGTGAAGAAACCGCTAGAGATGGACTTCGACAGTGCACGAAAGCTGTGCAAAATATAAAAGATCAGTTGAAAACTGTAAAGACCATTGGAGAAAAGCAAAGTCTATTATCTACTCTGGCTCAAATCAAAAGCTTTCGTGCCCAAATTAAATATACAGTAAAACATGGAGCTGGAACATCGGCGAGAAAAGAGACGGCAACAAACAGAGTAAAGTGGGATGACTCTGAAACGGCCTTCAATAGTCGCATCCGTACCGGTGTAATATCTAATTTAAAACACAAGGACCCCAAGGAGTTCCTCAAGGACAGCTTCGCATTATTCAAACGGCGTATTGCTAACACGTTGAAAAAGGAAGAAGCCGTCAAGGTGAATGCGGTGTTTGGAGGACAATTCCAACTACAAAAAGCCGATAGAATTCTTAAGGAATCAAAATATTTCACAACGAAGAATTCGCCAATTTATCGTGATACTAATCTGGAGACATGGTTTCAAGAACATGTAGTCACGCCGATTTCTACGGAGCTCGATGAATTCCAGGAGCGTGATAGCGGCTGGGCATTGAACTCCATAACTAATTTGGGAATCAATATAAACAAGTTCACGCCACAGCTGGGGTCATCATACATCGACTTACCTATATCAATTAAGAAGAAGCAGGCATGCGTCAATGTAAAAAACAATGACAACGCTTGTTTTGCGTGGGCGGTGACATCAGCTTTGTATCCTGCTTCCGATCATACTCTTCACTCCGATAGGACTTCATCTTACCCTCAACCCTCATCGGTTCTAAATTTAAAAGGCATCCAGTTCCCAATGACAATGAAGCAAATACCGAGGTTTGAGAAGCAAAACGGAATATCTATCAATGTGTATATTCTAAAGAAAATTGTGAACAGCTTTACTACCCTCCCAACATACTTGACAAAAAATAAGCTAGATAAGCACGTCAACCTGCTTATGATTCAAAATCAATACCAAGACGACGTCGATGATGAAAATGAAAATGGCACTCCAACGAAATACCACTACGTCTGGATAAAGGACCTGTCACGCCTCCTAACATCTCAACTTAGCAAAAATCGCGATAAAAAATTCTTCTGTGACAGATGCCTACACTACTTTTCATCCATGGAAAGACTAAGCAGCCATTACATCGACTGCAAAGAAATGAATGAGTGCAAAGTCAGGCTACCTAATGAAGATCATAAGGATTTAAAATTTAAAAATTATAAAAATAAAGAATAGGTCCCCTTCATTATATATGCAGATTTGGAGAGTGTTCTGAAGAATGTGAATGACAGTAGCAAGTATCAACATCATGTACCTGCAGCAATAGGCTACTACGTAAAGTGTTCATACGATCCGTCATTATCATTTTATAGATTTTATCGTGGTGAGGACTGCATGTCTTGGTTCGCGCGCGAAATGTCTGCGTTCGCTGAAGACGTAGAAACGGTTTTCTTATGCCCTTACGACATAGTGATGACATCAGCGCAAGAAGCCGAATTTCATAAAGCTACACACTGCCATATATGTGAACAGCCGTTTAAGGTAGAGGACGTTAAAGTCCGTGACCATTTTCATTTAGTACCCGAAAATAACTATAGGGGCGCCGCGCACAACGCGTGTAATATAAATTACAAAGATGGGGTTGTTATACCTGTTGTCTTTCACAACCTGGGCGGATATGACTCACACTTCATTTTGGAGAATATTGCAAATGATATGCCGGGTAGAGTCGACGTGCTTCCGATAACTAAGGAAAAATACATTTCATTCACTAAAAATTTAGATCAAAATTTAATTAAATTCCGATTTATCGATTCATTCCGTTTTATGGCTTCATCGTTGGATACTCTTGCATCATACATGACCGAATTTCCAAATTTAAAATCAGAGTTTTCCGAACTAGCCGACGATGAGTTTAATTTATTAACTAAAAAAGGCGTGTATCCATATGACTTCATGGACAGCTTTGAAAAATTTAATTTCCAGTCTTTGCCGGAACAGCCGCACTTTTATAGCCGTTTAGAGGAGAAGAACATTTCAAGTAAACAGTTCGCGCACGCGCAGAAAGTTTGGAATACATTCAAAATTCAAAATTTAGGTGAGTACACGGACTTGTACATGAAAACAGACATTTTACTTTTGGCTGACGTGTTTGAGCAGTTTCGAAGCAGTTGTCACAAGACATACGGCCTCGATCCCGCTAATTACTACACTTTACCTGGCTATACCTGGGACTGTATGCTGTTTAAGACAAGCCAGACTTTGGAATTGTTGACCGATATCGATATGTTAATGTTTGTCGAACGAGGTATTCGCGGCGGATTGAGTCAATGCTCTAAACGTAAAAGCGCGGCTAATAATAAGTATCTTCCAAATTTCGACCCCAGTAAACCGATAAAATATTTAGCATATTTCGACATCAACAATCAATACGGTTGGGCCATGAGTCAGTACTTGCCATATGGAGGGTTCGAGTGGGTAGATTCCAACATCGACGTCACCAACGTATCAGACACATCGTCTGTAGGCTATTTGCTTGAAGTAGACCTTGAATATCCGGCTCATTTACATGACACACATAAAGATTTGCCACTATGCCCCGAACATAGCGCTCCTCCCGGATGCAAAAATTTTAAACTTTTGGCAACTCTTCATAACAAGACGCGGTACGTTATCCATTATAGAGCTTTAAAACAAGCATTAAAGCATGGGCTTAAGCTTACAAAAATTCACCGCGTACTAAAATTTAATCAGTCTCCATGGCTTAAGTCTTACATTGATCTGAATACAGCATTACGTCAGACAGCTAAAAACGACTTTGAAAAAAATCTATTTAAGCTTATGAATAATGCTGTGTTCGGAAAAACGATGGAAAATATAAGAAAACACTCAATCGTTAAATTGGTTAATAAATGGGGTGGGCGCTATGGTGCGGAGGCCTTAATCGCGAAGCCAGAGTTCAAGGCTGCCACAATTTTCAATGAAAATTTGGTGGCTATAGAACTCAACAAGTCAGAGGTCTTCTTCAACAAACCTATATACATTGGGATGTCGATTTTAGACCTAGCCAAAACCACCATATATGATTTCCATTATGATTATATGGTGTCCGAGTTTGGTGATGACTGCTCAGTCCTTTATACCGACACCGACTCGCTGATATATGAAATCGGCGATAAAGATGTCTATGAAGTCATGCGTCGCGACTGTCACACCCGGTTCGATACAAGTGATTACCCTGCAGACAATAGGTATAACATCCCTCAAGTTAATAAAAAAGTTCTGGGAATGATGAAGGATGAGTTTAACGGCATCCCTATGGAACTTTTCGTAGGTCTTAGGTCCAAAATGTATACCGTTAAACGTGCTGTTGACATGGCTTTAACAAAAAAGATCAAGGGCATAAAAAAATCTGTAATCAAAAACGTCATCACGCTCGAGGATTACCTCGAGTGTGTCGATAATTTCAAAGACAAATACATCAGTCAAAATTTAATTAGATCTGAAAAACATGCAGTCTTCACGATGACTCAAGAAAAAATAGCCTTGAGTCCACATGATGATAAGCGATATTTGATTGAGGGGTCATATGAGACGCTGCCATGGGGGCACTACAGTATTATGGAACAATGAACGAAGATCCCTTAGTTTGGTTCGAGAACATTCTGCTGACTATGTATGTTGAAGAGCTTCATGTGTATAGTTGTCCGATTATTATATCTATGAATGTAGAGTGCTCATAATTTATATATATATTTAATGTGTTTATGTGTTTTTATAAATACCTTGTATTGGAAAATAAAAACCATACTTTACATACCAGTTTTATTTTTTCCCTCCAGCTTAAAAAGAGAAGGATCTTACAGTAATAGTTCAAGTGTCATATATTTTTATATTTTCATTTTTTAAATAAATTATCTAAGGCTTTAAACGCTGAAAACTGTTCACGTTCTTTCACATGGACTGCAGCATGTCGTTTTCTGTGATGCGCCTCCAGATGTAGTTGTTGGATTTAAATGCTTGTCAAAGTCCATTTTAGACAGCAAAGTAAACGAATATTTAACTTCCTTATCTCTATCAAAGCTTTAAAGTATTATGTAGGAGTGGAGGGGGTAAGAAATTAAACTGCGTTCGTATTTTAATCTATTTCTAGCATTTTATTAACGTCATTTACAAAAATTTCAATGGGAGTATTTACAAGTAATATACGATATCTCGTTCTTGATGCGATTGAACAGGTTGATG